GGTTTTTTATCCTAGTTCAAACATGAGCGTAAAGTAACGACTTTGTCGTTCAAACACGCAGAAACGTTCGCTGTTATCTGCCGACATCGAACTATGCCGAGGATTGAATGCAGCAGTTGGAATTCCCGAGCGCACTATTTTCGTTTGTTCAGAAAAAGGAAGAGTTATAGATGATCTTGTAGCAGGGTGCGACGGGATATACTGGTGATCTTCCGTTACTTGCAAAATTTGATGAAAACCCTTGAAGAAACTCTGGTTATCCTCGCCACATCCAGGAACTATTTTAAAAAACGATCTCTTTCACGACTAAACGAATGAATCGTGAATAGAAAAGTTAAAAAGAGCTTTCAGTTTTTTTCTACAGAAGTATCCAGGAATCGGATCGAACGTTCAAGAGGGTGTGGCGCCGGTATATAAACTAGTCACCAAATGTGCGCACGGCCATTGCGAACACCATTGGCTCGTAGCAGACACCCTCACATAGTTCCTAGCATTCGGAATAAAAGTGTTACATCAGTTGTCTAGCATAATCTTGGACAAGCTTCTTATTTCTAAGCAGAACAAGAAATTAACGAATTAGGTGATTTTCCGCGGATTCCTTCGTCTTCTCCGTTATCGTTACCTTGGAATTGCACTAAAGTAGAAAGAGAGCGTGACGCAGTGTACGTTCTGAACAATTCATCTGTTTGTTATGTACTGACTAGCCTATTGCTATTTTTTTAAACTATGTCTATATTTCGTCATTTTAATGCTATTTTTTGGTACTGGTTTCTAAGTCTTGCAGTCATGGTCCATTCAAGACTGTGATTCATCTCCTCAGATAACACTTTTCACTTCGTTTAAAATGAAAATTCATTGCTATTGTTATTATCTTTTCCTTTTTTACTTTTTTGCTTGAGCATTATGACGAGTTCAAAGACTCATGATTAGAGAAATGGTGAAGTACTGTTTCTCTTAGCCTATTTCCACTTTATTTATTAGAGCACTTCTTCGTTTTTCAGGGAAACGCTAGACTACATTGTTCAAGATTTGGTCCGGAAAGCTATTTCTAGCTCATGAACGAAACTGTCCAGCTTTCAGTGCTTAATTCGAAAAGATCATAGAGCAATGTAAAGTTTCTTTTTTTGTCCCATAGGCCAGGTCGAAATACTACTTTACATTGAGGTTTTGAAACACTCGAAGATTCGCACTCTTAAACACTCAAAAACCGGTCGCTGACACGGATATAGTTCTTGCAACCTCATAATCATTTTTGGAACTGAAAGTCTAAATAGAAGAAACTTGTTGAAAACTGGTTATTGCTCAGAAATTTTCTTCTTTCGAGTCGTAGAATCTATTAAACAGAAAGACTGATGGAAAACTAAAAAAACCTCATGGAAGATTAGAGGCTTTTATTAGCAGACGAATCCCATATGTTCTACTTTTATTATGTGGTCTACTTTTAAGCTTTTAAGTGCTTGAAATATTGCACTCTCAAAATTTTTCCACTGTTATTTTTGTCGGATGTGAGGTTAGAATTGGTCATGCGCGCTGTATAGAACCAGTTGCTTCTGTGACAACAAAACTCACTCGTGGAAACCAGATTACCTATTTTTCTTAACGGGCAATTAAAAGGTGGTATTGGTAATACCAGTGAAGCATTTGGTACAAAAATATTCGGTTTGTAGGGATTAGATTTTTTTATTGCATTTATAGTTGTCGAAGGATTTTCGTTCCATTATCACTCCGTCGAAAGGGCACACTCCAGGATGTGGAGCAATGTCGTCATAAATTAATTAACTACCTAAGTTTGAGTCTATGTGTAAGCTTGTGCTGTACTTCGCCGGCGAAGGTTAATTCATTGGAATTGGCCATCACAAAGTCGCAATGGATCACTTCCAAGGCGTTGTCGAACCTGGCCGTAAGTTTGCCAAGGACTCTATTCTATTGATGAAAAGGTACACTAAGCCAGACAGAAAACAGTGCCAAGAGATCGCTGCTGCGATTGCAATCGGTTTCCAATTATGGATTTCATCCATGTACCCATCAATAACATCATCATCAAGGCTTAAACTCTGCGATTGTGTTATCCAGCTTTTACAAGCTGTTCGTTGTCGACCATCCCATCCATCTTTTTTCAATTGATCTTTTGTTATTATACGTGGTTATAAATATTAGTTTTATTAAATAATTCGTTTGGTCAAGCTCCACATGTTCCACAGCTGAAGTACTTACTTTCGCATAGAAAGTCAAGCACGGGTTGAGCATGCCACGATTGAATGACTAAGAGTGGTTATGTGTGATAGTGATGCTTTATAACTGTTAAAAACAAGTTAAATCATGGTAGAAAACTTTTTTGGGCAAATATTTGTTGCCTTGTTGATTATTTACTATTTTTAGGTCAGCTCTAAAATCTCCGTTCCTCAGAAAGTCCGGTGTTTCTTGAAAAAAAATTCGTACAGGGTATTTTACAGGGCGACGTAAATTCAGAATGAAATGACACCATCAAATTATTTTTTTGGCAATGGAAACTTTTCTTAATAGTGAAGCCAGTATGTTTATTGGATAACAACATCTTTTCACAGTCCAGGCACTTTTCTCAAAAATATGTGTCCAGACGATGTTTGATCGCAGTGGCTGACCACTCATAGCTGCTCTGACTCGTTTGCTGTCTTCAACATCGCTCTATCACTTGTATACCTTTTTTGGAATGTTTACAGTTTCCATTTGTCTTGGCACTGCTTAGGAATGGTGTTCGAAATCAACTTCTTCTAGCTAGTCTTCGTCTACAATAGAAAACCGTCAACTTCATCTAGTTGGCCTTCGTTTACGCAGAAAGCCGTCCACAGTGTGGATTGCATGTCGGGCTTTACAAATTCTTTCCAACTAGTAGCTTGTCTATATATTGCAGTCATTTACGAGTTGTCCAAAATATTCTGTCTAAAATAGTTATTTTTCTCATTTCTTGAATTAGAACATGGCCAGATGTCGATTCTGCGATTTCACATTCACGTCAGCACAGAATGAAAGTTATCATCTGTACTATACTGTTACTGGTTGCCGAATGATTGAGCGGATACCAATAAGCTTTTCATATTCTCCTGTCAAGAATTATTAGCTGAGTTTTGCGCGCTTTGGAGACGCGAAGGGCACTATACTTTTCTTTCGCGTTTTTCATAGAGAAAATTTATTGAGTCGACGTTTTTCCTATTGCTTAAGCTGTGCTTAAAATTCTTGTAGCACGGAGTAATTAATGGTTCTGGTTCATCGGAGTTGTCTGTTGTTGATAAAAGGCCTAATATTTAATACTTACCCTATTCTCTATGTTTTCACTCGCAGCACAGTGTCTCTGATCTTTCAGGGCAGAACTTTGGAATCTCTTTCTTCTTCTCTCCCTCCATCTATCTATCCTTTTCATTTAGGTGCGGGATTTTTCCTTCTCGATAGGGCGTTCGAGAAACTGATCGCTCTTTACCTGCTTACACAGCGCTCAAAGCTCAAATTTGAGAGGTGCACATTGAACTAAGTGGAATCTGAAAGTTGAACTTCTGCTAGATCGCTCACCATGAATAGCCACCTTGTCGAGCCTCTTGTTTCATGTAGATGACAGTGTCATTGCAAGATGAGGAAGGTTGCTTGCTTACTGAGTGTTTTTTGGCTGTGAATAACCTTCATGATTGCTTGTGTCACAATCGAAACGAAAACTTTTTTCAACGGTGGAAGTAAGACACTGAGCTTACCGTGTGTGAATACGGTTTGCAAAGCGATTTCTGGAACCATGTCTGCTTGTATGACCAATGTTCTCCTAGTTTATGAGAGGAATATTTAACTGAATTGTTTGTTAACAAAATAGAGTGAACGAATTGGACTATAGTGGTCGATTTTGTGTTGGCCTGTTCATTCTGAAACAACAAGGCACTGGAGATTACCATTGAGTTGGAACCATGGCGGCAGGTCCTTTAGAAGCACGGATTTAATTCTGTAAAAGGCAGGAGGCGACTGTTAATGTGATTAAAATTTCCTTGTTACTTGTGCGACTGCACGTTGGCTTGAATGTTTCTGCAGGTAGACGTGTCTCGGTTTTCTAACACTTTCGCCAAATAGATCCCACAAATTGGTAAAGCTTCTAAATATAGTTTCTTTCAATGGAATTGAAATAAGTGGTTTCTTCGAAAACTTAGATTTCGACGAACTTGACTTAATTGATATTAAAGCAAAACCAAGGGCTTCGGTTGGTGGGGTGGTTAGCACGTGAGGCTCCATTCGTGCTTGAAGACCAGCTGAGGTTCTGAGTTTTGTTCATATCTCTGCATCTCTGTTGTAGTTCACATCATACCCTGCCATAAGACCAGAATAAACAGCCAATGAGAAGTTAAAACATTGCGATTTTAACTGATAATTTTTTGTTCCAGTAGGATTTCGTTTTGAAATCTTGAGGTAGCTCTACGACAGCTTTCCTGGGCCTTGATGTGGTTAGTTGCTAGCCATCGTAAATCGGAGAAATATTCTTACCGTTCGACTAGGTTTTAGTACGGATTTCTAAAAATTGCTTTGTTCTTGAAATTCGTCTGCTATTGCCTTGGCTTCCGAACGAAAACTTCAAGCTTTCCTCCTAATATCTTAAGCTGCACTTACTCAGAATATGGAGTGAAATTCATGGTTAAAAGATTACAGAACCGTTTGGGTAATGTAGCTGTAACTACCGTAGTTGAAATACAGTTGACTTCTACGTTGTTACAACTCCTCATTTTCCTACAGCTATCAATGCGCTTCCGAGTTGATGTCTGTTCTTTGCTATCTGTTTTCCACACGCCATTGACATTTCTGTAGTGCTTAGAATGAGGACCACGGAATACTTGGAGACTTAATGTTTCTGGTGTCACCTTTTCTATTCTATGTGTCGATTTAGCGCGTTTATGCTTTTTTTAGACCTCCAAATCATATATTATCAATTCATGGGCGGACTTTTTACGATTTCACCTGACGACTTTAGGTGGTTTATACCGTTAGCGACAAAGGAAATGGAGGGGAAGGAGATTGATAACTATCGCCGGCTGACGTTTGCAGGAATCACAGTGGCTGCTGTGGCAACAATCACGTCCGTCGTCGTCGTGCCACTTCTGTTCTCATACGCTCAGAACGTCCATTCACAACTAGAGGTCGAACTGAAGTTCTGTGTGATGAGTACGCACAATTTATTTGACGAAATGAGAAAGGTAAGCCTCAGCTAGATTTTGAATGGATGCCGTTCAAAGTTCAGAATCTCACCAGTGAATAGTCCACACCTGAATGGTCCTCAGGATCATTCGCGAAGCCACGGTTGTTGTAGAGTGGATTTTTCCACAATTTTCATGTTATATGTGCGTAGACAAGAAAGTTTCAATTTCAGTGTTAACTGTGAGTTTTTGTTGCTGAATGTTGATATAATATGTAGAACTGGTGACTTGTCATCAGGTTAAGCCGAGTTCAACACGTATTTGTCAGCAGGGTAGAAATTCTTCCATTCCATTCATTTTTTACGATTTCGAGCTTATGAACACCATGAACGCTTTGCCAGCAGCTGCTGGTTTGTTAGCAACTTTTTTAACAAGTGGACATAGACCTATTTGAAAATTAGTGGTCGATTGCCAAGAGTACTGTTGAATATGATGGATGAAGCAGAGTTTCGAACCTAATTCTCTAAACTTCTGCTGCATTGAGCTCACAAGATGTGGTTCGCAGTTGCGGTGCAACCCATTTGCTCCTCTATGAGTGTCTTTTGTGGTTGTGTCGTTGTCATTGCTCAGCATTGTTATTCTATTGCATTGTGCTGTTGTCAAGAGTATGACTGATGTAGTGGTTCCGCTGAAATTGGCGAAGTTATTGTTGAATTTATAGCCATTGATGACACTTGGCGGCCACCCCACCTATCCATCTTTTTCGTTTTTTGCTTTGTTTCCTGACAAACTGAACCGGTTGTATTTCTTTTTTATCGTTTACACTATGTCGCGAATGCACCCTCCAGTCTTGTGCTTCAAAATGCAGTTTGACCAGTTTGACGTTTTATGCCTCACTAGTCATTAGAAGTCTCGTCCCAAGCTCGTCGTTTGTGAGTGTAGATTTCAAAATGTTCCTTGGTCAATAATATCATTTTAGCGTGGTGTGCAGAAACAACAACTAAAATGGAAATGTGATTTCTTTTCCAGTAGCCCATATGCAGTCGTGCTGGCGCGTTTCCCATGAACACTAAACTGTATTATATCATGTTATTAAATTCGTGTGAATATTTCTTTTATCTACGGTACATTTAGTCTTTAGTCTTATTCCATCCCATGGACTGAGCTACCCTATGAGATCCTCATACGATCTCGTATTCAGACCAAACTGAACTTCTGCCGCATCCATCTAGAGTCGGAAAGCAAATAGATCCCAGACTTGCTCGGGCAAATAAAAATACTGACTTTTGATACGTGATTAAGGCCCCGATACTCACTTCATAGCTCGAATATACATTCACTCACCTTTACGATCCTCCTAGTGATTTTTGATTTCGGATCAAAGAATGGCCTCGACACCAACATCGACTCCAGGAATATCCAGGAATACTTACTTGATGCTTAATACCTGAATAGCCCGTCCTCACTGCCGTTCTCAGCACAACCTCCATTTTTAGGAGATTTGCTGGTTAAGCGATTGTGGTTCCTTGGAATCCCAAGGTCAATCTGGCCAATGTCTGCCCCAGGTCTTCACCACTACAAGCAATCGCAGCGCTTGTGGATCAGAGTGAGGAATACACGTGAAGAGTTTTATGCTGGGACCCACGTATTGTTATAAGGTTGCAACTCACATTTACAGTGGTCCTTTTTCAACGGCGCATGCGTGGATCTCCTAAGCTAGTGCTGCATGCGGGTTGTACACTACATCGTAGTATAAGGGGACGCTTTCCGAATAAATTTTTCTGTTATCTAAGCTAGTGGGCAGATAGGACACATGTAGTGATGTACGTCATCACGAGCATGATGCTAGTTCGATTCCGCTCTGGACCAACCACAGCTCTCATCTCCCGGGGTCGGGAAATTGGTACCGGACATGCCTGGGAAAAAATTGCAATCCAATTGGGAACGCTTCAGCCTAGCTATCTCAGGACTCCAAGGAAAATTGCTCGACCAGCATTCTACGACATTCAAGATGAAATGAAAAACCTCAAAGAGCAACGGAAGCTACACGTAAAAGTTGGAAGATCTTCGTGGATAATGGACCTGAGGAGTGAGGAAACGAGTCGAACGTGTGAAGTGCTGAGATCCGCACAGTAGACTTGAAGACAAATCAAATAAATAAATAAAATTAAATAAAATAAGCAATCCGGAGTTTTGCAAATATCTCAGCATTTCATACGAGTTATATTTCGCAACATACCCTGCCATTAAGAAGAAAAAGGCAGTAAATAAAAGAGTTAAGAAAATAAGCAATGTTTAAAGTTAGTGTTATCTCGGAGTTTGTTTCCTAATCGAGTTTTGTTATTGCAGAAAGCAAGAAAAGCCGTGAAATTGAAGAATACAGATTGCGTATGCCAACACATTTTCCACTGAATTCTTTCTTTGGTGATCGCCGTTCATGGCAGACGGATGTTTCGACTTTGCAACATTTCGTCATCCATAAATCACACCTACTATCGAATGTAGATAGTTACGTGAGCCACTAACACTTTTTCATCTTACAGTGTGGGTTTTGGGCATTGGATGATCGATTCATCTACATTTCACTTTTGACGTGTCTCCATAAAAACCTCAAAAATAGGCTAATTTTCGAACTTATGGCTAACGTCAAAGAGTATGACGTCTTATGTGCAGGCTATTCTTTTTAGAAAATGTAACCCAAATGCTTTATGAAAACTAAGTGAAATTCTCGACGTATTTTAATTGTCGCCAAACTCCTCAGCTACATGGCAAGAGGTCGGAGGGTTCGAAGTTTAAGAAAAGGTGGGAACGAGCTTTGGTTTTTCAGTTAATTATCGACTTCTCCGGAACTTGAGAAAAAACGTGGCCCATTCTGCTTTCCTTGCTTTATGTTCATCAAAAAACCTAAATATATATATATCCTTTCTACTTCTGTTGAGCAAACACGAGGTCTTATTTTATTTCTTTATATACATTATATATTATAACATTATATATTATTATATTATATATTATAATAATTATTATTGTTAATATTATTATATAATATATTATTATATAATATATTATTATATACATAAAATAATATATTATATAATATTATTATACTATTTATAATAATCATATTTATTTTTATATACTATTATTATTAATATTATTTTAATATTATTATTATTATTATTAACTATTACTATTATTATCATTATTTATTATTATATTATTATTTATTATTATATTATACATTATTATATTATATATTATTATGTTATATATTATTATATTATATATTATTACATTATAATAATATTATATTATTTTATTTTATATTTATATATATGCATATATTTATATATATGTATATAAATGTGTCGTTTTCTTGTTCAGCAATCGCGAGGTTTTTAAACAGCATACATTTACTTCCATAAAAACACAATACAATACAACGCTAGCTGACGTTTCGGCAGTATCGCCTTCTTCAGAGCCGCTTTTTCGTGACTTCCAATGAGGAGGTTTAGAACAGCTGATTATAGTCGCATGTGGTTGACGACTATATGTATATAGTTTGGCTTCCCTCTGCGAGCAGAGTTAGGTCAGACTTTCTTTGATCAGCTACTTAGGTAAGAAAGGATTTCGTTCACAATGTCAGGCGAACAGGGTGGTTATCAGATCACGTTAAAAATGATAGCACTACAAGGTGTGAAAGATCTATCATATTTTGTTTATGAAGATTTGAACAACCTTCATATTAACTATGCCGTTGAACAACCTCCATTCCCAATAGCAATTTCCTTTCCTCCAAAAAAAAAGAATTTATATGGCATAGGCGTGATGTGGGCAGAAATTCAGCAAAGAAATAGTTCGCATTCTGATTTCGATCTCCTATTCCAAAATTCTGTGTACTTTTTATCTGGCCCTTTCCAGTCTAGTGCAGAAATCTCCGAAAACGAGTTTCTAGAAGGACAGGATATGCAAATTCAGTTATATGCAAAATTATAAGCATATATATTTATAAAAGATAAGGGTTAAAGCTGTCGGCGTTGATCAATCGCTGAGGGATACGCCATGCATTCGACTTCATTAAACATCATTTGAAGGTGATTGAATGCATGTCTGGCCTCTGCAATGACTCGCGGTGGCCTACCGATGCATCGAGCCAGTGCTGTTATCCATCCTGACAACTCTGGTACCAATTTGCCGACCCTGGAGGGATGGAAGGCTTGGTGGCCGATGCTCGCGGTGATCAATTCCACGTGTGTGTTACAGGGCTCTTCCGACCACTGCGCCACACAGTGGAATAATAAGTTGTTGAACTAGTGTGGCAACGCGCCCTAAGCATATATATATATATATGTCCTTCTAACGGTTTACCGCTTTATCGTGGCTGGGAGGTGTTCCTGGGTGTCGGGTTGTAATGTACAGCGGGAGATTCATCCCCCCGGCAGGGTCTCCCAAGTTCAGAAGGGGCTCGGCGTTTCCGACAGGAAGTCGAGCTAAGAGTAAACCCGTACCAGAATCCACCACCGTCCTGGTATCAAAGTAGTCGCATAGTGACAAATATCCTTCTGATCCACAAGGGCTGCGACTGCCTGTCGTGGTGACGACCTGGGGCAGGCTTTGGCCAGGTTGTTTTTGGGACTCCAGGGAATCACAATGGCTAAATCAGTAAATCTCTGGAGAATGGAAATTATGCTAGGGCCCTCACATCCAGTGAAGGCGAGCCATATAAGTGTCTAAGTATACAAATATCCATATATACATATATCCTTGCGAGTTTGGAATTCTTCACTTTAAATAGTGTTTTCCATGCATATTTTAGAAAGAAAATCCACGATTAGCAAACACGTGGTAAATGTATGGCAGTGGAAAGGAATTCATATTTAATTAAGCAGCTGGCATAGAACAGTAAGAATCTGTCATCAAGAAGAGAGCAACTACCCATGTGCTAGCAAAAGAATCTGAACGAAACATTTTTTTAAAATGACTTGTGGACTAAACAGACCCAATAGAAGATCAAGAGTCTTTAATCCACGGGTGCCAATCCACCTTGGTTGTACAATCAAAAACTGAACGCAGTTCTACGCTCTCCTGGGAAGGGATAAAACTAGAGCTAGAACGACTGCAGCGCACCTAACACTGTTAGTAAGAAATAGCATCTAAAGGAGTTCCTTCCTAGAAAGCTTACCTCGAAATCGATGAAGTCGATTTTCCACAGACCAAAATCATTGACAGTTAAAAGCGTTCGCACATTCCTTTTTCTTACTCTCTCGCCTACTGTATTTTCTATATATACATGTAATATATATCCATATACATATACATATGTATATGTATGGTATGCACAGATACGCACATATATATATATATATATATATATATAATTTTCCTTCTAATTTGTAGTCCACTGTAGTTGACTTAGTGAAAACAGCGTTCCGATAGAGCAACATCATTGTTTTGTTTGGAGGACGTGGATGTTTCCCCTGGTGCACTACCAACGTCTACTTCCACGTTCCCTGACACCTAACATTTTGGTCGAAAAGTAGCTTCGCATTTGAATTTCTGGAGAAATTTCGACGATTCTTGCTTGCTTTCTTTTTGGACTTGGAATTTTGACTTCCTCATACCTACTCTCCATCGAGTGTTTGACTGCATTCAAGCACGCCACCACAAATTTATGAAAAAGTTCTTTTCATCGTTGATTATGGGATACATATTTGGAAGAAGTCAACTCTCTGGAGTGTCAGAAAGTTTTCACTGTTATCTAAAATTGATATTTCATTTTTTATCCCTGTGAATGGTTGCTTGGTTAAAGGATAAAAAATTAAAGGTAAAGGTTGTTTGGTCACATTATCTAATATCTGAGACTGTAAGATTTGAAATGCATGCTATTGAAACTGCACAAACACGTCCCTATGACTGAATGGGCTTTTATGGATGCCCACTGACCTGGAGAAGACAAAAAGTCTGAACATGGGAGAAGCACTCCTAAGTGGGCAACTCTGGGTGTTATTTTGATTGCAAAAGAGTTCTTCGCAATCTGAGAGTGTTAGACCTCTTATCAAGAGGGTGTGATAAAAACACTAAGAAGAGATCGACTAAACGACTACTTCGTGGCTTTTTCCTATAGCATCATGTCACAGCCAGATTCGATTTTTTTGTTTGATGAATTCTATATATTTGATGATTCTCAGGAATTGATATCAATTTTTGTTCTGTCAATTCAAGAATATGGAGTGTATTACACAACTTTTGGTGAAATATCAAATAAATTCCTGGTGAAACACTCAAATGATATTATGATTGACTGATTTCTGCAACATGAAGTGAAATGCTCGTTGTTAAGGTCGAGTATATGACTGGCCAACGAAGTCGAGTGAAACGTCATTTCAAATTTCCTTATGGATATCCACAACAGCGAACACAACAATTTCCACAATTCCCTCAGCAACCACAACAATATCCATTCCCTAAGCAACCACAGCCACCATATGTGCCACCACAACAATCACAATATGTGCTGCCGCCACAACCAGAAATTCGACCAGCACCACAACTACCATTCGGACCCCTACCACAAAAGAAATTTGGACAGCAACCGTTTGTACAACAAAAGGAAGCATCTTTGACACAACAGCACTATGGATATGCTCCACCACGTGAACACATGAAGCCCCAAGAAGAGGTGCGCGTTAAGTCGACTTTGTAAGAACATTCTTAGCAAGAAGAGACAAACTTCTTCCTAAAAGGATCCTATATATATATAATATGCATATATATATAATATACACATATATATGTAATATATGCATATGTTGTATGTATAAACAAAGTGTGTATTTATACTACATATACTAATACTATATACACATATGTATATACATATATATATGTATGTATATATATTATATATGTATGACATATAAATCTTGTGTAAACAACAGTTCTTTGTTGCTTTGATTTCAGGTGGCTCCTGCGCCTGTTCCTCCTTCGGTAGGTTTCAGTGCAAGTTTCCTTTCCTAATTATTTCTCACTCTTTGTTTAAAGAATGGAGAGAAAATAAAAGTGATGCACTGAGGCCAACACATTCATTTTTCATGTGCAGCGACTCTCTTGTTACGATAAAGAACGTTTTCATAGTAAAAATAATTCAGTTTAACCATTACCATTCCAGTTTCAATTGTTCTTTAGTGGAACTTTTTTTTTCAGGATTTCGAAGAAGTAGTTGGCACTTCACAACAGTCGTTCGAGCAACCAGAGGTGGCATATTTTTATTCGTTTGAAACAACTTCTTCGGTACTTGTAAACATAATGAGGAATAGCTTTTTATTCACCTATTAGGAAGAAGCCATGTTTTGAAAAATGATATAGACCCATTTCTTTTCAGTTTTCTGATTTTTTAACTTGTAACGAAAACTAAAACCTACTTCGTAGTTTAGATCTGTTTCCTTGGACCGCCAGGTCCACCCGGATATCCAGGGCCTGACGGTGAACCTGGAAATGATGGACTACCAGGACCAAACGGTCCTCCTGGAATAGATGCAGATATATCCGGCAGAGGTCCTACAATTGATGACTTTTGTTTCGAATGCCCACCTGGGCCAGCAGGGCCACAAGGTCCGCGAGGACCAAATGTGAGTAAAATTGCTTTGGGAATAACCGTTTTTCTCTATTAAAACGTTTTTTTAGGGCTTGCCTGGCTCTCCTGGAGAAACAGGCAAAGCTGGAGACGTAGGAGTACCTGGTCCAGCTGGACCTCCTGGACCGCAGGGGCCACCTGGTTTAGATGGTGAACCAGGCCCTCCTGGATTGCCTGGACCAGATGGATCCTCAATTTTCTCAGAAGAAGGACCCAGAGGACCACCCGGTTCTCCGGGTCCACCAGGGCCACCAGGAAATCCTGGAATTCCAGGTTTTGCAACACCAGGTCTGCCTGGACCTAGAGGGGATCCTGGTCTTCCTGGCAAACCAGGACAACCTGGAAGGCCAGGGGAACCTGGTAGAGTAGGAGTTTCTGGAATTTTAGGGTCATGCAGCCATTGCTCACCTCCGAGAGTGTCCCCTGGATACTAGATCGTTTTCCCTTGTTTTCCGGATACAAATGTTTTCATTAAAAGAGTCTGTTGTTTTATTGCATTGATTGTTAAGTGGAGTCAAATCGATGCGTCACCAAATTCCACTTGGGTGTTTAAAACCAGACGTGTACATCAGTATCTATGACATGTTTTCTTGTTCTTGAAGTGGCTGTTATTCTGACAATATTGTTAGATGATAGGTGACCAACTGTTTAATGCACTTCCTACAACCCTAGCAACTTATATTGCTCACACATGTGCACCAGCATGGGTCAAAATAACCCATATGGAATACGGTTCACATGCTCTCGTTGTCTGTGTTGTAAATCGCTTTCTTACAGTTATTTTCGCCTTAAATCAACGACTGCCCTTCCACTGCCAGTGCTGTGTTGGGAAACATTTACTTTGCACATATCACATTTCGCATTTGTTGTGCTTGCTGCTGAAAGTTAAGCCAAAAATATGTGTTCTGTTGGCTATGACCAACATTAATATTCTAGGAGTATCGTTCCCATCGTTGTCTCATCTGTCACTCAAGCCTCATGACCACAATTATGTTTCGCATTCTTCTACTTTCTGATACATTCAGTCACTCACTTACTGAACTTATAGGACGTCATTCCCGGTCACGTCATTCTGCTTAAGCAATCTTAAAGAATTCAAGTAATTAACTAGTGGGACGAGTGTGCTTTGGATGCACTCAGGTGGTAAAGTGGGATAAAGCTGTCGGCGTTGATCAATCTCTGAGGATGCGCCATGTAGTCGACCTAATTAAACATCGTTAGAGATGATTGAATGCATGCTTGGCCTAAACAGTGAGCTGCAGTGGCCTGCCTACGTCCCGAGTCAGCGCTGCTATCCTTCTAGACAGGTCTGGCAGCAATTTACCGAACAGAGGGATGAGAGACTTAGTGAGCCCGTGGCGTGGCATCGAACCTACGTGTATTGCAGAGTACCTCTAACCACTGCGATAAACGCACACTTGTTCACGTGGTACAGTTGATTTAATTCCGTCATTTTAATAGATCCTAGTTGCTTCCCAGACTTCTACCAGTAGGTAGCTCTCATTCCTGATCAACGTAACTTGATGTTTGTATTATTTTCGCTTGCACTAATAGCTAAAATTTCGCAAAGTAAAGATTGCAACCAATTTTTTGCAACGTTGCAATGGAGTTGATTCATTCTTTATAAGTGGAGCCTTAAGAATGTAATTCACATAAAAGCAGAAGCAATTGAAATAAGGCAATACGTTGAAAATTTTGATAAAAAGCTCTTTCTTGCTTATGCCATCACTTATTTAATATAAGCGGTGTAGAAGGGGACCTAAGAGGCCAATAGAACTGAAATCTTACCTAATTAACTTTGAAATTTTGTAGTATGCTGATTAATCCTATCGCGACGAAGGTGGGTTTTCGAGAACTTCAAGAGTTTAGAATTTCTCGGATTTATAGAAGAGAATTTCCTTCATCGCACAAATCGCAATATTCCTATACGTTGTTGCTTCAAATTTAATTATACTGACACGATCCCTTTTGCTGGGACACGGTAATGCCTTGCAAAACGCGAATCGATGGTGGGCCTTCTACGCAGCTTGAGAATGAACGGGGTTAACGGCACTTCCAAATTTAGACATCGTTAGGAACCACTGCGGACCCACATAAAGGAGAGTGATGAACTAGACGAAACTACAGATACACCATACAGATGGGTGGAACACTCTCTTTCTGGGCTGCGGTCGCAAAGTGCGAGCATATTGTAGAGATGACGCATGGACAACGAGGACAACTTTCCGCTACGGTTAATCTCGTAACACAAAGAAAGAGAATATGTTTGATTAATTCAATAATTATTAACACAGTAATGCACGCAGCATGTAATAAAAGGATAAAGCTCTCGGGATTGATCGAATCCTGAGGGATGCGCCATGCATTCGACTTCATTAAGCATCGTTTGGAGGTGATTGAATGCATATCTGGCCTTTACAATAACTCGCGGTGAACTACCGATGTATCCAGCCAGTGCTTCTATCCTTCCAGACAAGTCTGGTACCAATTTTCCGACCCCAGAGGAATGGAAGGATTGGTGGGCCCAGGGTGCGGGAATCGATTCTACATGTGTGCTGCAGGGCGCCTCCAACCGCTGCCCCACTCGTGCCCTTACGCAGCGTGTAACAGTGACTAATGCTGATTGTGTGAATAGAGGAGCCTAACAGTTAAAGCCTACAACGTGAGGTGAGGCGAGAAGGTGAAGATCGTCACAGAAAGCAACACAAGGCTAAAATAAAGGTTGTTAATAGCAAGCATAGTTGGCATAGAAACGTGGCATAATATACAAAAATAACCACTCGAGGCAGTAGTTTCCATGAGAACTTCCGCTCGGTAGGATCCGACAATGCATAGACAGATTTGCGAAACCAGTGCAACTGCCTTTGATCAGACTAATTCCATTGAGATGCGGTACGACAACCACGTTTCGCTCAAAAAATTTGAGGTTATCATTCTTCAAACTAGCGTCATGACGTTATAACTATGCTTTCATTCAAATTACTGTTAACTAGCATAAGTGTGTCCGTTAAGAAATTAATGGCAGATTGAGTTTCTCTATGGATTCAGTTGAATAATTGTCGCAATAAATACATAGATTGATATCATAACCTGCCATGAAAAGGAATAAGCAGTAAATAAAAAGTTATTACATTGTGATTTATAACACAACTCCGGTTTGACTGAATGCAGTGATGATTTGTGCTTCCCAGATCAATTCCGTTGACGGGTGATTGATGATAGCACCTATAAATTAAAAACACGGCTGAGAGACAGGCGAGACAAAAAATCTGCATGGTGTGGTGGTGAACGCGTTAACCCCCGGAAAGAGTAAAAACGAGGTTCATTCTTCATCGCAGACACCTGCGCTCCATAGTTTTGCAAATATCCCATCATCATTGTGGTTATCGCAACAGGATTTCAAAAGGTGACTGAGAATCTTACAAACCTTTTCTTTTTTGCTCAAGTAAGAAAGGGGCACACTATCACGGAACTTCCTCTTTGCTCCTGTTTGATCAGTGATTATTAGGCTTCGCTATCACTTGCGTGGAGTACCGTAAATTTAACAAAGAAAAGGTTTAATTCGGCAAGATATTGCTAAAATCACAATAAACTTATATCAATAACAAAACAGTGATCCTGAACTTCCGCTTTAGCTACTGTTGCGTTAAGCACTCAGTAGATCAGATGAGTATGTCTTCAAGGTAGAGGAGTTCTTCGTTCAGCCGGTCATGTAGGTCAAAAAGCTGAAATCAAAGATCAAACTATGAGTAGAACTACACTTATTAAATGCATCACTGAGAAAGCCATGCTTTGTGCAAATCACTCTAAACTTATGAGGGAATTTTGAAGTCCCTACTCATACAGACAGTTAAAAAACGGAAATGGCCACCGTGCAGACTATAATGTTTGAGATCAGATGTCTTTAGTACATGTTTTACGATTCAACAGCTGTTCAACACGATTTGTATGATTCAGCAAGACAACAGCTGAGCAAAACCGTGACCGTTTTTTTCTGACCATTGATCGGTATGAGCGCTTTTCTTTCCATGAAAATCTTACAACCAAATTATGTATTATTCGTGTCATTTAGGTAGACAGTACCCTTGTCCAAATACTTCGAACAGTGTATACTTATGGTGTGCTGACTGGCCACGCCCAACATTTCATTTACATTTTTATTATTTCTCCTTAGCAAGTGCGAAATGCAACCACAATGAATATGGAATATTTGCAAAACTCAGACTCTAGGCCAGACCCGAGCCCATCATTACTCTTTCCGTTGGCTCACATGCTGTCCTCTGCACCATCGTAGCCCTTGCTTTACCTTTCTTTCGGCAATTTTTCCAAGAAAGGGATAATAGGCCTTAGATAAAAAGTTAAGCAGCGTGATTTCGACTGCAGCTTCAGCTTAACTGGGTTCAATATCGATTTGTGCCCACGGATCATTTCCGTTGATGTCCGATTGCTGATAGTATTGTTAGCTTAAAAAGAAAACTTGAGGAGAGAAAAGCAAAGCAATGGTCTCAGCGACAGTGGTGAGAAACATCAGGTCGTCAAAATTTAAAATCGCTTTCCAGATTCGATGGCACCGTCAAGGTAAAAGAAATTGGGAAAAATGGGAAAACAATGGCTGGTGGAAAGAAAGGCAAAGCAAAAGCTTCAGTGGTGCAGAGGGTCACTTGGAAGAATAAGCGCAGACTTGAATTTAGACTGTGGTCTGTGCTTTGCGAATATCTCAGCATCATTGCACAATACTGTGCATTGAAAGAATTATGAGCAGTAAATAGAAACTTGCATATCGTGTTTCCGAAGTGGTTTTATAACAACAGGAACAAAACATGGAACAAACTAAAACCGTAGGATGACACTGAGCTAACAGTATACCTCAAAACGACAAGTCTTTTGAGGCAAACATCATTTTTTCATCCATACGAACCCCGTCCTTTAAGTGCAAGGGTTTATTGCATAGGTGTCCAGTAGTGTAAGCCACTTTGTTTAACTGTTTTAAGTCATTCCACGGGTATCTTTTGAATTCAGTGACTGTGAAATTTCAATAGATACACAAATGAGGTAGTCCATCCGCACAAAGTTTACAATCGCAGTTTCGCTTTAAACTTTGTCCGTTGAGGAGCAACTGTGTAGACCGGAAAAAACAATAGTTATCGCCGAAAACATTGGTTTTCGAAATGTTGCGTTTCTGTTTTACGATTTGATAGTATGTTCTGATAAGAAGGACGGCAAGTCCTTAAGCGAAACCACATACATGTCAACGAAATACTGCAAACACTCATTTTTACGTTCCTAACATTTTTCAAAAACTCACAAGAGCTTCACGCACTTACCTTACCTTTGAAACCTTTGAAACCTTTGTTAGGACCGTGACTTTGATTCCGAAGTCATCATCGTCGTGTTTTTCTCTTCTACCTATTAGAGTGCTTTGGCTGATTTTAAA